TTCCGCTGACGTCTTTAGACTTTTAAACTAGCGTGTAAATTTTCAGACGACGATCCGAACTTTCGGGTCTAGTTTTATACAGTATCACGCGCTTGTTTTATAATGATAATCTGTTCTTCAATAATGGGATTATAGTTAACGGATTTCTAGAAAAGAAATATTTTATGTAGCATCCCAATATATGTTTCGCAAAACTTTAGAAAAGAATTTGCGAAAATCGCACTCTGATTTTAGTAAGCTAGTGGGGTGTTACAAATTGGTATCAGAGCACAATTTCGTGTATCTGAATACTTTTAAAGTTAGAAATTTTTTGAAAAGACCCGACCACGCTACGCTCACGCCTCGCCGACTATCGGGTAAGTGCTGAAGTTCAGTTTATTTGTATATTTAAATGAATACTTAAGTCTATGCTCAGTAGGGGGTACCAGATTATTAACCCTAGAAGCCAGTAAGATGCTCGAATATTGTCAGAACTTAGTCGATTATCCTAGTCATTTGATTGTTCGACTTTAGTATTCTCGGGTTATTTAGCGACTCGTCAAGAGATTTGTGTATTTAAGTAATCAGTTAGTTAATCTCTTATGTTATTTAATCATGTTAAATATTCCAATGTTCAGATGCCTCCTCGTAGAGAGCCAGATCACCAGGAACTCCCACAGGCCACAGTGGTCGCTTTGTTTCGCGATTACTACCCAGAAAAGTTTTCCGGCCAGGGAGATCCTCGTGTAGTAGACGAATGGGTTCAGGGTCTCGAGATTATTTTCGAGGTCATGAACTGCCCCGATCGTTTTCGCATGTTATGTGCCCAGATCCAGCTGACCGGTGATGCCAGACTCTGGTGGCAAGCCTATTGGAGTATGCGTCCCGGTGAAAAAGACGGTTGTACGTGGGACCAGTTCAAGGAGTTGATCCGAGAAAAGTATTATCCCTCGTATTTCCGAGCAGACATGGAGCGCCAGTTCTTGGCACTCACTCAGGGTACTCGTACTGTTGACGAGTACGAACGAGAGTTCATCTGTCTCGGAGCCTTTGTACCAGATCTTGTAGGTACGGAAGCAAAGAGAGCCCACTGCTTCACCGACGGACTTCGCCCAGCAGTCCGCCACAACATCGTAGGCCACGGCGTCCAGACCTATGCCCGCGCAGTTGCCATTGCACAGGAAGTCGATGCCAGTATCCGACGTGAAGCCATCCAGACACCAGCCCAGCCAGTTGCTCAGCCATCAGCCCAGCCTAAAGTAGCCCAACCATCAACAAACCAGAAGAAGAGGAAGCTCAGAGGGAGTTCAGATAACCGGAGGACCCGTCCCAGACAATATCCAAAATGCCCAACCTGCGGGAAACACCACCGTGGAGAATGCCTCGTGGGCCAGAATGTTTGTTTCTTTTGTCGTCAGCTAGGTCACTTCAGCAACAACTGTCCAGAACGACTGCAACAACAACCACAACAACGTCAACAGCCACAGCAACCTCAACAACAGCAACTTCAGCAACAACAGCCCAGACAGAAACCACCACGACCACAGCAACAGCAACGCGGCAGACAGCAGGCTCGCGTTTTTGCAGTTTACCAGAGGGAGGCCGACCAGCATCCAGGTACCATGTCCGGGATGATTATTATTAATGATGTGCCTGTCTATGCCTTGTTTGATACCGGAGCGACCCACTCTTTTATATCACGTCGATGTCTCGATGCTATTGGGGTTCGTTCCACTACTGTTGTCGATCCTCTCGAGGTGAGTTTAGCCTCGAGAAGAAAGATAGTGACTGACGCTAGAGCCACCGATCTCAGCCTTTCCATTGGCGGCCGTATTCTGCTTACTGATACTTATGTCATCGAGATGAGGGACTTTGACCTCATACTCGATATGGATTGGCTAACTCGATTCCATGCAGATATTCGATGTTATGACCGGGAGATTACTCTTTATCTTCCGGGAGATGATCAGATCACTTATTACGGCTCCAAGACTCGTACTCTGCCACATATTATTTCTATGGCGAAAGCCAGAAAGATTCTTCGACGAGGTAATTGCCAGGGTTATTTTGTGAGCCTCGTTGGAGATGAGTCGAAGGCACGTTCACCTCATGATATGCCTATCGTTCGTGAGTTTATGGACGTGTTTCCAGACCAACTTCCCGGTGGTCCGCCTTGCCGACAGGTGGAGTTTTCTATTGATCTTATCCCTGGAGCCGGACCCGTTTCAAAGGCACCGTACAGAATGGCGCCTAAGGAATTGCAGGAATTAAAAACCCAAATTCAAGAGTTGCTGAATCTCGGTTTTATACGACCGAGCGTTTCTCCTTGGGGAGCACCAGTCCTTTTTGTCAAGAAGAAGGATGGATCTATGCGTATGTGTATCGACTACCGGGATCTTAACCGGTTGACGATCAAGAATAAATATCCACTTCCCAGGATCGATGACTTATTTTATCAGTTGAGGGGTGCCTGCGTGTTTTCTAAGATTGATTTGCGTTCAGGCTATCATCAATTGAAAATCAAGGAGTCAGACATACCCAAGACAGCTTTTCGTACGAGATACGGTCACTTCGAGTTCGTGGTTATGCCGTTTGGCCTCAGTAATGCCGCGACAGTATTCATGGACTTGATGAACCGTGTATTTCATCCTTTTCTCGACCAGTTCGTTATTGTTTTTATCGATGATATTCTTATATATTCCAAGAGCCAGGAGGAGCACGGGGAGCATCTGAGGGCCGTTCTTTCGACCCTTAGACGAGAAAAGTTATATGCAAAGTTCTCCAAGTGCGAATTTTGGCTTCAACGAGTGGCTTTTCTTGGCCACATTATTACTTCAGCAGGTATTGAAGTTGATCCTTCCAAAATAGCTGCAGTCCAGAATTGGTCAGCACCAAAGAATCCGTCCGAGGTTCGTAGTTTCCTCGGTCTTGCAGGTTATTATCGTCGATTTATCGAGGGGTTCTCGAAGATTGCACTCCCTTTGTCTCAGCTGACATGGAAGTCTGTAAAGTTCGAATGGACAGACCGTTGTGAGTCAAGTTTTCAAGAGCTGAAAAGGAGGCTTACGACGGCACCGGTGTTGACTATACCCGATCCTTCCCGAAGCTTCACCATCTATAGTGATGCTTCGAGGCAGGGTTTGGGATGTGTACTTATGCAAGACGGCCAGGTCGTTGCTTATGCGTCACGCCAGCTTAAAATTCATGAACAGAACTATCCGACGCACGACTTGGAATTGGCTGCAGTTGTTCATGCCCTCAAGATTTGGCGACACTACCTATACGGCGGTCAATGTGAAATCTTTACTGATCATAAGAGCTTGCAGTATATCTTTACCCAAAAGGAGCTCAACATGAGGCAGCGCCGTTGGTTAGAGCTTGTCAAGGATTACAATTGATGCCAAGGTTCGTGCTGGAGGCGTCGAAGGTTTTCACCGAGGCACTGATGGGGCCTTGGAGTTTCGTGGCAGGATTGTGGTGCCTAAAGTTGAAGCATTAAAGAAGGAGATTCTATCAGAGGCTCATACTGCACCCTATCTAGCCCATCCAGGAAGTACAAAGATGTAGCATGACCTGAAAGGGTCGTTTTGGTGGAAGGGATTGAAGAAAGATGTTGCCGACTTTGTAAGAAGATGTTTGACCTGTCAGCAAGTCAAAGCCGAGCATAAGAGTCCGATAGGCCTTATACGACCACTGCCGATTCCGAGGTGGAAGTGGGAGGAGGTCGCGATGGATTTTGTCACGGGGTTACCAAGGTCGTCTGAACATCACGACGCTATCTGGGTCGTGGTCGACAGATTGACTAAGGTTGCCCACTTCTTACCAGTATCGCTGAATATGTCTTTGGATCGGTTGGCTGAGATTTATGTCCGTGGGATCGTTCGACTCCATGGAGTACCTGTTACTGTTGTGTCAGACAGAGACCCCAGATTCACCAGTAGATTCTGGAAGAGTTTGCACGAGGCAATGGGTACGAAGTTAGCTTTCAGTTCAGCCTACCATCCCGAGACTGACGGACAAACGGAACGGACTATACAGACGTTAGAGGATATGTTGCGTGCTTTGACTGTTGACAGAGGTGCTAAATGGGAGTCTTTATTGCCGTACGTCTAGTTTGCATACAACAACAGTTATCACTCTTCAATTCAGATGGCTCCATATGAGGCACTATACAGTCGTAAATGTCGTTCCCCTCTTTATTGGGACGACGTCGGAGAACGTCGAGTACTCGGTCCGAAGCTGATCGAGGAGACAGCCGAGCAAGTCGAGTTGATCCGACAGAGACTCAGAACAGCTCAGAGCAGGATGAAATCAACTGCCGATCATCATCGACGAGATATTCAGTTCGAGGTTGGCGAGCACGCTTTTCTCAGAGTTAGTCCAGTTCGCGGAGTTATTCGATTCGGGAAGAGAGGAAAGTTACACCCTCGGTTCATTGGCCCGTTCGAAGTACTCGAGCGATTGGGCGATGTTGCGTATCGTTTAGCCTTACCTCCCGAGTTATCCAGTGTGCACAATGTCTTTCATGTATCTATGTTACGTAAGTACGTGTGCGACCCCGATCATGTCATTCCTCATACTGATATTGAGATTCATCCAGACTTATCTTACGAGGAGCGACCGGTAGCTGTGTTGGACCGACAGGTTCGACGACTCCGGAAGCGTAATGTTCCCCTCGTACGTATTCAGTGGGATCGCCACAGAGCTACTTGGGAGCAGGAGGCTGACATTCGCGCTCGTTTTCCCGATTTTCAGTTCTGATATGTATATTTTCATGTATATATGTTTTGTTTTATATTTCCGATGACGGAAAAATTTTAAGGAGGGTAGATTGTAATAACCCAACTCTTTGTTAATAAGAATGATGTATTATCTTTTATCGTTTCCGTTCATTTTCAGCGAATACGTACGACGTT